CCTATCAGAAACCCGCCAGCCTTGCCAGATGCCAACAGCCACTCGGGCCCTTTGCCCAAGAACGCTCCGGCCTGGGTTGTGGCCTATAGTGGTCCGTCACTGGTACCTTCTGGTCCTCTGAGATGTACGTAGCACAGTATTCTCCTGTACCAGTCACCGTGGAATGTGGGGGTTGGTTAGTGAGTGCTTCTTCTATCCACCGATTGTACCCAGTACCTCTCAATCGCTGGGCTTGGAAGGTACCGAGTATGTACCTCGTATAGTATGTTACCTTGCAACAACTCTTCTGAGTTAAGTACTAAGTACCAATTGATTAGGTATAACTAGTATGTTGATGGTAACTAAACCTAGTAAGGTACCTGATTTTTACTGGTACCGACCGGTGGTTACTGGTAAGTAACAAAGTACGTAGAAAAAAAAAAAAAAAAAAAAAAAAAAACCCTCACTCTCATCTCTCTCTCACTCACTCACACAGTATGATTCCATTCTAGCCGATTCCAGTAGTTGTGCCACTCTGGACTCAACGCCTTCCTCACAGCGTCACCAGGTCTTCTTTCTTTCCCTCCCCACCCCCACCGAGTCATACCTCGATCGTCCTTATCGCCGCCATCACCCCAAATCCCAGCATGACTGGTGGGTGGTCTTTTCTGGTGTGTACCACGTCTTTCAGCGGATACGTATGGCACGGTCTACATACATACATACCTGCCTATCTGCTATTCACCTCCCCCACCAGGTGCTTGTCTCTCGTCTCATGACTGGTCTGGTTCTTCTCGCTTTCGCCTCCCCCATTCCCGATGGTCATTGACTGACTCGAACGATATTCCAGCAGGCAGAACTTCTGAGTATTGGTCATTATCGCTTAACTGCCATTTCATAATGAGATTTTTGGGGTTCCATTGACTCTTCCTCGTCATGGCTTTCCCCACCGGTGAGGCGGCGCAGTTTCTGACTCGTCACGCGTCAGCCAATGCTTCGATCCTCTGGGCATGAACTCCGTTGCTTCCATGCCAAAAAAAAAAAGAACCACCAGCTGGACAAGTCAATCTGTCGGACACGTTGTTTGCTCCCCCCTAGTACTTTTGGGCTGATAAGGTACTGTCCTGGGACCATTGGCCGTGGAACCTTCATCCAGATGATGGGCTGAGTGACGACCGTTACCATTGCTTGTAACTTCCGAGCCATCGTGGACATTTCATGAAGTCGCTGACAAGAGACGGCTTTCTTCTGAAAGGCTCTTCTGTAGCTTTTCCTCCAATGAGGTACTAAGGCTTTCCACAATAACTGGCCTCCAGTGGTCTTCAAGAAAACAAGCACCCCATACTTTGAAACGAACACCCCGTGAAATGTATGGTAGTACTTTCAGTCTGGAATTGCGGTCGGATGTTGTCGACAATGTAATCCGCCTGATCAACCACCGCAATGACACATTTCTGACTCGGGGCAAGCTAGGAATTACCATGTCTTAGCCTATGCTGTGTGTTGCGACTTGAAACCAAGTCTCATAACTACCTGCCAATATCGTACTTAGTCACTGGGTCCTAACTCCACTACTGAGCCCACACCACTGTGTATGAGAGGTATACTCATGCGGGAAAGTATCTTTCGTGACATGGATAGTGATAACACATTGACCCTTCTCATTGTCGATATTTCACGGAGCCCCTCGCTAGGACCGGATAGGAAGCATGAATGACAAAGGGGATAGGTTCTCATCAAGCCACTAAGAAACAAAGTTTATACCCGGTGCGACGCTAATGAATGGTGTCTGTGGGTGGGTTTGACAGTTCCCCTGCTTGGCTACTCATCGATAAACTAGCTCTTACCATACTGAGAGCTCGTATTTAGCGGAGGCTTACAGTCACCAGGGTTTGCCTATTGAATCATGAGCTTAGTCCAAAGGCAACAGGGATCTTTTTGGAACATATCGGGATTTGTGCAGTATCGCGGATCTAATGGGAGCGTGTATTCCGCATACAATCGCTAACCTGGCCGGATCGCTATTCTTGGTCTCTCGCACTCCCTATTGCTGCTGAGCCACTCTCCCAAAGCAAGAACTGAGCCACAGCCGCTATTGCCTAGCCACTTGTGACTTGTCATCTCCGCCGTCGTTCCAGGCTCGGCCGAAGGATATCACCGCTGGTTGAAGCCTCCACTTTCCCAATCCACCAAGTCCATGGTGTTCTCGAAGGCTTCACTTACTTATCCAAGCACTCTGCACCGCTGATCTTGGCGACTACCAAAAGACCGTGCATCGCAGCCTATACTCAGCCGCACAAAGGCAATCTTGCAGGCTTGCCGGTTATAGGCTTGTAGCAGCATCGTCCGGTGTCTGGGCGATTGGTTCTACAGGAGTGAGCAAAGTGGAACGGACAGACAATCTTCCGAAAATAATGGCCTCCCTTGACTGTTCTGGCCCGAGCTCAGCGAGCCACAATTCACCAGTCAATTAATCAGCCCAAGTGATTCGTTGCTGAATTGTGTACCTTGGGCCGACTATACTACTGCTTACATCTCAAAGGAGCAGCTGACGTCAAGTGGCTGTCTTACCACCTAGATTATGTAGCTATGACCACCCGCTTTGATCAAACCCCGGATTTTCAATTGAACTTTGATCACCAGATCCCTTTAATCCCGCCCATTGGAAGAAGGTTTTCTTGATGAGAAAAATAGGCAATAGGTGAAATACGCTAAGATCATCAATCGGGCCCCGAGCGGGTATCTAGGAGCTAAGTAACTCTTGTTATCACCCGCGGACAGGCACACTGACCGCCGGGTTGAATTAGACTACGGGTTCATTCGACACGCGATCTTTGTGTGGTTGTTTGGTCAAAATCCTTCTACTCCTGTTGAAAATGTAATCATCATATGAGCCTTCTGGGATATTTGTCAACCGTCCCTGTGCCATTCCGGCGTTTCTTCGTCGCAAATCTCACCAAATCCTGCTTTCCGTCGTCCAAGGGCGAACCCCTGCAGCACGGGCCTGTATGTTGCAAGGAGTTAACCGGACAATTCAAGGGCGTTGAGATCTTCGAAAGGGTTCCTGCGGTGAGATTCGAACCCACTGCATTGACGATGCTGCCAAGACCACGATCAGCCGGATCCTGGATATTCCCTCCCTTTATTATCTTTCTGCCCACCGATCAATATATTGGACACAGATCCAGTCCGCTCCGATGAAGATGCGGAAAAATTGGCCGATTGTGGCTTCCTACCACCCTAAAAAGCCTGTGAGAAACCAATTGCAAAGGAAACTTGATCAGATCTACTCCAGACGTCGACTAACTTAGATCTTGAATTACATAACGTGTGAAAGCATCACTTCTGGCCACCGGCGCGACGAGGGCTAGACTTGATGGTTATTTCAAATATATTTTCTGCCTATCTTGCTACATCGCCTAGTTCCAGCCAAGGTTTGGCCATGGAGGTATTGAGATTGTCCAAGAATTGCAGCGCACGGGTACGACACTCATCCGTGAGCCGACTAATGAAGACAAAGAGAGAAAGGGCCACAGAACATGAAATCTGCACGACGACAATAATAGCGATAGAAGAAAGATTGGTAACGTCTGGCTAGTTTGATTGCTTGGACCTGCAACAGCAAAGTCTTTCATCCACTCGCACAGCCACAGATCTCCGTGGCTGGTTTGAGGCCTGGCTAAAAATGCCACTCGACAAAGTAGAGGAGCCGTTTGGGTTCAGCCATCTACACCCCTTCTACCCGATCGGTCATCGATGATCTTCATCGCAGCATCCTGAGTATGGAGTACTCCGTTATCTATCATGACTGAGCCATATCCACCCTTAGCCTAGAGGCTCCATTCCCGGTTATCTGAAGCTCTTGCAAGCAGCGGCACTGCTTCCCATTTTCCATCTTATTTCACGGCGCCTTCAGCAGTCACACTCCGCCAGTAAGTACAGGTCTGGATCAAGTAAGCGAGGGCTCGAATACATGGTGGGTTGGGTCGGCGTAGATTGGAATTTATTGGGCTTTGTTCTACATGCCCTCCTGAAAGGTCAACAGAGCAGTCAACAACCTGCTGCAGGTACACCATCCCAGTATAATATCTTCTGTGCGACCGTTCGGGACGTGATTCTTCTTTCTTCCCTCTTTTCTCGACCATTCTCGGGGAAGCCACTGGAATTATTGGCCAGAACCTGATTAACTCCCAAGAAAAGTCCACGGAGCATTAAGAAGCAGGATCAACACTGAATGTCGCTGAACAAGGTCCATTCATGTCTCAGCTGCTGCGCAGCCCTCCCGTGCTTCGTTCTATTCCTGTTTCATCAGCATCCATGCAAGACATGGCAAACAGGTATCAGCTATGGTTCCCTTTCACTGGAGGGCGAGTGGAGAGTGTTCTGTAGGGGGCGGATCCCAATCGGGCAATCCCAGCTCTGCTAGTGCTGCATTGTCCGCCCCTTGCGTCCCGACTTTTTCCCTTTCTCTGCCAAACCACCCCCAATAAATGGAGAGACTCAGGGCTTGCGATTGGCTGAAGCCCCCCCAATTTCATCAATCTGCCCACCAATATCGCCATTTTGAGTTGCATTGCATTGCATTGCGTTGGCGTTGAAGGCCCATTCCTGGCCTTGGCCTATGGAGTCGTGCAGAAGCAGGCCTATCTGGGCAAGCGATTTTCAGCAGCGAACCAACCCCACAGGGACTCGTGCGCGCGACACGACCATCTTTCCGTTCTGGTCCAACGGCGGTGGCTGTCTGGGGAGCATGGCAGGAGGAAGGTGTGCGAGACGGTCCTCGCGCAGCTGCTTATCAAAGTGGTCCATTCTCATCGACGTCATTTTATTGATTTCCCTTGGGCACCAATCCACTATTGGTCGCACTCTCGGGCTCCTTGGGCTCTCGTTAATTATTAGCTAATATATTGTTCCAGGGGCTGTTCTCTTTCTCCCCACGTCCCCTCCGCACTGTACCACGGAAGTTCTCGCGAACCCTCCCGAATCTTTCGGCTGCTCTTCAACTATAGATTCGCGAAACCCTAGATGTCTCCATAATCCGGAAATAGAGCATTCAGACCCAGAATGGGGATTGCTGGCTGAACCATCACAATAAGCCACGTCCAAGCTTCTGCACCCCCAGCCTAACCCGCGATAGTAGGTACTGTATGGCTCTGCAACGCTTCAATACGACGTGATGAGGCACTCTAATGTACTGTTCTGATTGGAATGTGCAGGACGACCTGAAACCTAGCCATCCACCAGCCATTCTCTTCGGCCGGAGTGACTGGACTGGCTCGGATCCCCCCTCCATCCTACTCAGGACACACCACTTATCACCCAACCGGGTGGCCGGACCATGCGCACACACCCTCTCTCTCATGTAGACTAACCCATTTACATACATCCGTACATCATCCATGCAACTGTGACACAAACCAGAAACTCAATATCAGCCTTGACGCCGCGGAGAGTCGTTCCTGACCCCTTCCTACTTGGGCAGTTCGACACTTTCCTGGTCCGTGGCTGGCTCGACCATGGCGCACGTACCGTATATCTGCAGCGGAGATCATTGTAGATCTGCAGATCATGTCCCAGTGGGCCGGTCTCTAATTTGTCCCAGCTACGGCTCTTTGCTACAATTGAAGTATTTAGCATGATTGTCCCAAACAGATTACTACTTCACGGCATTTGGTAGATTTGGATTTGGTGGGGGGTGGGAAAGAAGAAGACCACACAGGACTCGCTGTCGAGTCATGTCCATAGATTACTATTGTGCCACATATTGGTCTCAAAGTCAACCTCCTCTGGTGAATTCGTGGTCACGGGCCCCTTTGGCTGGTTGCCATGTGACAGTTCCAGCTCAGGCAGTTGGTTGCACTGCAACTGACAGCCTCTACAGTACGTTTCAGCTACACACAACACCACCACCACCACCACCACAACCATGATGTGCATGCTACCATGTCGAACCACACGACAAGGCAATCTCTCATGACATGACAGAACTCTATGCTAGCTAGTGGTCGCCTTCTTTATTCTATAGAGTGTCTGTGGATGTCCATGACTCGAGAACCTTGAATATCCTCTGCCTGCAACTCTTGAATCCTACATTTAACACATTCACATCTTCGTTTCATACAGTTAGAAAATGAATAACTCAAGTAGGCAGATGATTCCCGCAACTCAGCCTCCGTCGATCATGGTTGGGGATAATACTACCTTCGCAACAGAGAACGAGCAGCTGAGCAGCTGAGCATGTAGTAGTAATAATAATAATAATAATAATAATAATAATAGTATCGACACATATAGTTCAATGTTGCTCAGCTGAGCCCATTTCAACCCATTGCCACCTTGATGATAGTAACGTATTCGTAATAATAACAGCGGCACATATATTAACCAACTATCTATTTTAATTTAATATGTTTTTCTTTCTGTCGGGATTTGTAGGATTCGTTAACGTCTCAGCGATACTTGGTGGCTGAGGTATACTATACGTTCAGGCGTGCATAGCAGGTCAGCAGCTTCCCCCACACAGAGAGGTATCGGTTGCTTGTGATCTACTCTTGTGACTCAAGGATCCGTTTACCACTATGTTGTTGTTGTTTGGATATCAGGATCATAGATAGATAACCTAAAAAATATTGTAATACTTACTGCTAACAGTGCGATGAAGTGCGAGTATGTTACTAGTATATATATATATATATATTTCATTTCTCTTCAACAAACATAACCAGTAGAGATCCCTATAGACAAGTGTTCCTAGGGAGAATAGAACTACTCCAAGATGTTGTTGTAGATCAGACAAAACGATTGCTATATATATTCGTTCATGCTCAGAGTTCCAGACTCTCAGATCCATAGCCAAACTCGTTGTCAGAAGACTCTTCCGGCTCAGACGAGGCCTGAAACTGTTCGGCAGCCTTAGCTGCGGCCTTTTTCCAGTCCGCCAGCGTGCTGGTCGAGAATACGTGGTTCCCCTCGTCTAGATAGGCTAGACCATCCATCGCCCGGCCCCCACAGGCGCGCTGAAGGGCCAGGAACGCGAAGTGGCCGCCGATTACGGGCCGAGCGTAAAAGTTCGGCCCAGGGAATTCGCCCTTGCCTTCCGTGTTGTGGAGATCGGTGAACGGAAGGTCGGTGACCGTCTCATTGACCCATTTGGCGACGGATTCGAGAACCTCGCTGCGAACGTTCTCGCTGGCAACAGCCATGGAGAAGAACTCCCAGTCGGTCTTGGTATACAAGTGCCGGCTGTCTAGAGGGAGGCCATACTTCTGACGCACATTGTGGTACCAAATCGACTGCCTCTGGTAGATGTGCCGGGGTACGAAGCCCGTCTTGTGCGGGTGAGGAGGGTGTGGATGGAGAGGTCTTTGTTTGGAGCCAGACGTGGCGTGTGGAGAGATATCGGTGCCCTCCAGATGGAAGCACAGCAGTGCATCGGCGTACAGATTGTAGATGGTGGTCCACGATCCGTACCAGTCGTAAGCGAGCTTCGCGTGTGTCTGGTCTCGAGACATGCCCAGCTCCTCCCACTTGGCAATGTACCTATCTGCGATATCCTGCGATGGATGGTGAGAGATGCGCTTTGCATAAGTGACCGTACAAACTTACCTTGTAGTAAGAGGCGTCTTCATCATTGCCAACCACCTCAGCTAGCTTGCTCATGGCATTGATGCCAACAATACCTTTGAGTGCCAAGTTCGTTTGAAGCGCAAGCCAGCCGGCGAAATCGTCCGTCGAAACTATCTGAGAGTCAGCTATGGCCATGAAGTCCTCTCAGGTGACACCTTACGCTGATTCTCGGGCTCCAGCGCGAACTCCACCAGGTAGCCAGTCCACTGTTTCCAGAGACGATAGCTGCGCTGGAGCCATCGCTCCGCCTCACGTTGGCCTTGTATACCACCACCCCAGCGTCCATCCTGCTTATCAATACCTCCATGTGCCTGGAGATTTGCAAGAGGAAAGTACCCAGGATGATCGTCCGAAAGTACAGGGCTCTCGCCTTGTGTTGACCAGATGGACGACGCAGCAGAAAATTCTGAATAACGCAGCGAGTTCACAATGGCCAAGCCCATGATGAGGATATTACCGCATTCCTCCACTGGCATGTACTCGTCGTTTCCATCGGGATGTCCAGTGGCATTCGGGAAGTGAGTTCCCAAGTCATGCATGGCGTACGTGTTTGGATATTGTCCACTCAACATGTGCTCGATCAATGGCTCCAGAAGGTAGGCCAACCACCGCGGGTTAGTGTACAGGAAGAACGGGAAGGCAGGGAAGATGACATCAATCGTCTGGAAGTTTCCGTTGGATGAGATCTCTTTCAGAAACAAGATCGGATCTTCAGGCGTTCCAGAGAAGGTAGTTGCCCCCATGACTTGTCGGGCAGAGAGTGCGACAATGTCAACATAGTCGTGTGCGCCCGACTGATAGGCATCCTTGGCTAACTGTTCCGAGTAGTTGGAGGCCAGCGCACTCGCCTGGGAGAAATCGTGGTAGTGGAAGTTCAGGAGCGCGTCGACGCTAGGGAACCATGACTCCCACAGAGGTCGCATTAAAGTCAAACCACGTGCAGAGGCATATTGGACAACAGGATCATGGATCAAGGCAATGCTAAATGTTACGCTGGCGCTGGTCGGCCCCGATTTCCGGTTGAGAACGAATGACTTGGAGAACGCAAAGACCGGCTCTCGGTCTCCAATGGCACGGAAGACTTCATCGTTGACGTTGTCCAGGACTCCTTGAGTCAAAAACGTTTTCCTTACGGCCGACGCCTCGCCAGACTGAAAGTGGACATCCTAGATGCTCGGGTCAGCAACAAGCAGAGTTGACACTACCGACAAGTTTACATACGGCGGGCGCGGTGAAGTGAAGAGTGCCCCATTCGGCGCGATCGCGGATTTCCGAAAACAGCAGCTCAGACTGTCTCTGGTATCGCCATCTCCGCAAAGCCGGCTTATTGTCTTTCGCATCGAACGCGTCATACTGCCAAGAGATATGACTCCGGGTGTCACCGCTCACCCAGCCTCCATTGATGTCCATATAGACATTCACGCTTACTTCACCATGGACATGGACTGTGACATATGATGCGGGAATCGACTGCCGCAGAGTTGATGTGGGAGTGATGGGAGACAAGAAGGAGAGGGTAATCTCCAGGGGATGGGAAGCAGAGGTGGAGGGATCAATGCGGTAGGTCAGATTGGTGGTAGATGCGTCGTAGTTGGCACCAAGGTATGTCGGAAAGTCGATTTGTGACCTAGCAGCGTATATCAGTTGGAATGGTCGTGGATGGGGATGATGCTGTGCGAGTGTATATACCTGGGCAGGGATTCGTGAGGCTTGCCCAACAATGGATACACGGTGCCCGTGCTGGGGACATGAGCCATCAGAGAGAGGCCCACCTCCTCGCCAGTGTAGAACATGGGCCATTTAGTCCAGGGTTCATCTCTGGCATTTCCAAACCAGGTGCTCAGATAGGGATTCCGCACGATCAGAGGTAGAACGGGCGGCGTCAAGGTGGATGCAATGCCGACGGTCGCCTGAAGGGCGGCTGTCAGCACCGCAAGGGATGGGCGCATTGCGGTTGAGTCGGCGCAGTCAACCGACAGGTAATGAATAGGAATGTCAAACAAAGAATAGGTGTTGATGGATAGGATGGGAGAAGCTATCCATCAAGCAGCAGTGATGAATGGTGAGGTGGAAGAGGAGCGGAGGTGGAGGTGAAGGTCGGGGGATCGTCAACAGCTGAACAGTAAGCACCTGATGATGCAATCACTCCATGACAGGGCAACGATCGACACGGTCGGAGCAGCGAACGAATTTGCACCGTCCAAGCCACTATCAGAACCCCGAAAGGATGACCCAAGAGGGATATAAAAAGATTGGAGTAATTTGTACGACGCATGAGGACTCGATGGCAAAGACCGAGTCTCCGAGAGCCAAAATGCGGGGAAAGCTGGGGATTCCCGCATCGGGACGATAAGCTAATCTGCCAGGCACCACATCTTTAATAAGATTAATACGCTGTTGTTGTATTTTCAGTAGCCCAGCAGTTAGCTTAGGAAAGCTCCAAACTAATAGCCACGGCATCCTCCCCCTTGACAGCTCCATCCAGCAGATAGAGACCTTTCGCTCAACGCATAGTTAGATACAGTGATCCCTTCATATTGTTACACGATGTGTTCAATATTAGTACATATACAATTCATATAGAAAAACCCCTTGATTCAACTCATGATTTTTATGCTATAGAAATTCGGCAAGAACAAAAGGAAACCAGGCTTGTAATGAAGTCACGTCCGCTTGTATACCAGTTAGTTTTATTGAAAGCTTTAAGGATAGAAAACCATCGAATAGCTTCCATACAACCACCATCTCTTGAAAACTCACGGGCTCACGTCAGTATAAGTTTGATATCTCCACTGACCTTTATATGATGATGTACGGTAACTTTCTGATAATATGGTTAGATGGGGAAAGTATCTTGACATCCTAAAACGTATAGCGTGTTGGGACGTCTTTTGTCTTAGAACAGCGCTAGAGGCGCTTCTTAGTAGCCATGCCAACTGTATCCATGAGCTGTTGCATGAAACAATGCCTAAATACACCTGCCACCAAAGAATGTCCTCCATGCTTCTTTGGACTCTCGAAACTCTTATGTACACCTGGGACTTCATGGATAGGAATATGAAAGCAGATGTTGAGAGTGGAGAGTCCACTCCTCTTATCTTAAGTTGATGATGATAAATGGACGACTTACGTCTGGCTACTTACTAAATTTCACCTGGAAGGAGATAGAATAATGGGATACTACAGTTGCACCACCAGAATACTTTGTATCACTCATAATAGAGCCCATTCACATGTGCTGAATTGAGGGTGCATATTACCGACCAATCAACGACTGTCGTGTACTGCATTCCTGTCCCACTTTGGTTATACCCGTCCCAGAATGGTAAAAGGCTAGCCTTATCTAGATCAACTACCCCGCAAATACATGCCACTAACCAAACACAGTAATCAATACATTGGACATGCAAAAGTTCAATGTGCTCAAAGTTATATACGCTGCTCTAAAGATCATACAAAGGTATGTGCAGAACGAGAGATCCCAGTCTAGCCTAAATCGTGTGCTGCTTACTGGTTCTGGGCAGAGTTCAATTGAGCTGCTGTCATACCTAGTTTCGATCGTGACGGTCGCTAAATATGTCTCCGACGGGGCATGGATGTATTCCTAACAATGCGTGACATCTTTTCGCAGTATTACTGATCATTTGACAACCAATTGGCTACTACGCTTAAGATACAACTATTTTCGACTATATAAAATATTAATTTTCGGCAATACAAACATTTGCTTCCCTCGCGTGCGCGTCATAGCTTTGTTTAGACCAACGCCAACATGGTCCCTGGCCACGAGGTTTACTTATATTCATGTCAAAGACTGGAGTTCCCTGACTCTAAAATATGGCTCTGCCAGTTATCGCTTATGATTTGCCTGTGGAACTTGATAAGTAGAACAGAAGCAGACATGTTGTACAAGGCTAAAGCAACAATTATCCCTCAGCATGTCAGTGAAACCTGAGGCAGACAATAAGCATTCTACCGATGGGTCATAATAAAGCCCGCTGCTATTGCTGGAGAGAGAGAGCCAAAGATGAAGTCCAACGCAGTAGCCAGTCATTTGCACAGCTTCAGGAATGTGGATGCTGCTATCTGCTTGCATCTTCTTTAGATCGCGATGAAGTGGAACCCGAGAATGGCAGAGACACCTGGATTGCACGTGTAGACAAATTAAACACCAATCTCCCAATTATGAAACGACCAAACGGCAATCATTCAGTGTAGAGTGTTACTATTTCCTCTTCCACGGAGAAACCACAACGCCGTAAATAAAAGTGGATGTTGAAAAGCGGCCGACGCGTGGAAGGGAAGAAGAAAGACACGCTATGAGGCTGGACGTTGCTTAGTTTCACCGCAAAGGGGAACCGCCGAACCCTCGACGCGGATGACCACGCGCCTCTGTCTTTCCCCCCCATCTTTCTCCCCAACTCGCTGCCATTGAGTCTTCTGACCCAGACCGTGACTTTGTCTTTCTCCCTTGCTTCCTCCCTTTTAACCTTTCGGACCCAATTGCACCAGCTCGTGATCCTCCACTCCGGAAGACGTGTGTGCGCGTGTGTGGGCATCGTGACTTAGTACTAGTACTACTACTACTTACTAGTACTACTTTACTGCCATTTCTACTAGACCCTACTCACCCTAAACTTCCCCCCCCAACACACTCTTTTACTTTACCTACACCACGACACCACCCTTCTTCTTTGAAGCTCCTTTTCTACGGAGCATATCACACCCTCCAATGCACTCTACCATGTCCGCATCACACCCCAGCCCCGTCAAAGACGGTAGGCGAGTGCTCGGGGAGAAGCACGCCAACGCGTGCCTGTCACCCGCCCACCATCGGCACGCTTCTGTCTCGCCCCTCAAACAACAACGCTCTCTCCTTGAGACCTCCTCCTCTCCTAAGAAGCTCCTTCCTTCGCCTCTCTTTGCGGGCCAGAAACGTTCTATCGACCAGGTGGACAGCACCAGCGAACCCCAGATCAGCCATGCCAGCGCGCAGCCCCAGTCGCGGCCAGAAGCATCTCCGAACGTGCAGCATGACGTTCAGCAGGTCCCTCAGGTATGTACCACCACAATTCCACACACCCAGCCAAAAATGCGTCAAATTGCCCATTGACTCTAACAAAAAGCCAATTCAGCCACACGCGACGCCAGAGACACCAACACAGCTTCTAGAATCACAACAACACCAGCCACAAGAAGATACCCACTCCGACCAAACAACAACACCGACAACAACAACAACACCCCTCATCCCCGAAGATCCAGCAACGCGCAAGCGCTTCATCCAAGAGGTACGTACCTCGTACCTCCATCCCCACTGACAGAGTGTACTAAATAATCCCCAGAAAGCAACCCTACTCCGCACGCGCCTCCAAACTGCCATGCGTCACATCCAAGACCCCCAACTCGACCGCCGTCTCTCCGACCTTGAAGCTCACAGTCGCAAACACCCTCGTCTATCTCTTCCCCAAGAACAACGAATTAACATCACTACGCCGACTTCTTCTTCTTCCACATCCTCGTCCTCCCAAAACCAAAACCAGACCACCCCGCGCCCTTACCAACCTTCTACACACCTCCCGCTGCACGAACCCGAGACCCAGAACGCGTCCGGCCTCTCCTCCCCACCCCTATCCACCGGAACGATCGCAACACAGAAGGAACAAGAACAAGAAACACAAACACCCACCCAAAGAGCAGAAGATGACGATAATGACGACGATCCGATGAGAACACCCACCCAGAAATCAACAACCCACCACAATCATACCCACCGGAGAACAAACACCCTCGGCTCCCCAATGCAGCTGAGTAGTCCTCCGGCGACGGTGTCGAGGTGCAGAAGTACAGAAATTGGCAAGGATATGGACATGGGAGACGAAGAGGAGCCGCAAGAGAGACAGCGCCGGTTATCGCAAAAGGGAGATGCCGTGGATGGGTTGTTGAAGTTGATGGGGACGGGGGAGAGTGTTGCTAGTGGAACTGGAACTGGGATCGCGTGAGTGTTGGTGTTTTTGAATCTTTGCATTGAAGCTTTGGTTATAGATGGCATTGGAGTTGGAGTTGGGATTCGTTGGACAAAATTGGATTTGGAGTGGAGTTTTGTTTACTCATGTCACATTTGGTTTGGAGAAGCGTGTATTAGTATGGGGTGGTGCATGTATGCGCCGGTGAAAGACATTACACATAGATAGACAGACAGACATTACATACGTGACTATACTCCGAACCCATCGCACCAGCAATGGTTTCTCGAGGAAAGTCAATGATATGATACCACCAATGAAATGCAAATCAAATCTACATGCCATTGCTAAATAAACGACATTATATACATAACTAAGAAAAAAAAACCACGGTAGTCAAGTGCCAGAAAACAACTACCGCACCTTCTTCAACTTATTCCTCTTCCTCCCCAAAACATCTCTCCCCTCCTCAATCTCGCCATTCGCCTCTCTCTTGGCCTCCCCAACCTCCTTCAACACACCCGTCCTAACAACCCGACCCTCCACACTAACCCCTTCCTCACTCCACTCCTCCATCTGCCTCCCGACCCTCTCCTCAATCGCCAACACAAGACTCACATCCCTCTGCCCCACCAACGTCACCGACTCACCCTTCCTCCCCGCACGCGCCGTTCTACCCACCCGATGCACATAATCATCCGGATTCCTAGGCACATCGAAATTGACCACCAACTCCACCGACGGAATATCCAAACCACGAGACGCCACATCCGTCGCGACGAGCAACCTCGCCGCGGACGCTCGAAACCTCGCCAGATTGGCATTCCGCTCCGACTGCGGCAGCAGACTATGCAGAGAAGTAACACGGTGAGACAGTCGGCGGAGCATACGCTCCAGCAAGTCCGCGGTCTTGGTGTGGTTGCAGAAGATGATGGCGGGTTTGGAGGCGTTGGCTTCCGTGGAGAGGAGGACGTGGAGGAAGGCTTCGCGGTGGGTCATGGGGACTTTGAGGTAGGTTTGTTTGAGGGTGGGGGGGATGGAGGCGTTGTTTTCGGTGGAGATTTCCGTCACGAAGATGGGCGGTTTGGAGGCCGGGCGGGGCATGGATTTCAGTGCGCGTACTTCGGGCGTTAGGGTTGCTGTGAAGAGGAGGGTTTGGCGCTCGCTGGAGGGTGGGAGGGCTGAAAGGCATGTTTCGACGTCGGGGAGCATGCTGCCGTGTCCTGGGGAGAGGAGTCGGTCGGCTTCGTCGAGAACGACCATGCGGACGCGCTTCAGGCCGCGGATGGTGTCGGTGCCGGAGGTGTTGATGTGGTCGGCTAGACGGCCGGGCGTGGCGATCACGACGTGTGGGCGTTGCGCGAGCGCGAGGGCTTGGGGGCGCATGTCGGTGCCGCCGGTGATGAGGAGGGGTTTCATGCCTTGGGGGGCGGAGATGGCTTTGATTTGTTCGTAGATTTGGAGGGCGAGTTCACTGGGGTGTATAGGGTTAGCAATGGTGATTGATGGGTGATTGGGGGTGGGGGTGGAGGTTTGGCTTACCGAGTTGGAGTGAGGACAAGGCCGAAGATACCGAATGGATCCTCCGCCCATTTCTGCAGCATGGGAACTGAGAAGGCAATGGTCTTACCGGAACCAGTCCGGCTTCCACCAATGCAGTCCCGGCCGCTCAGGATCTCGGGGATACAAGCTTTCTGAATAGCGGTTGGTTTGCGAACGGCCATGGTGGTAAGGGAACCGATCAACCACGGCGCCACTTTAAGAGAGGCGAAAGAGTTCTGCGCTTCGTTGAGACCGATCTCCAGCGCATCTTTGATCAGAACGGGCTCGTCTTTGTCCGATGTGGCGGGCTTCTTCTCTTCATCTGCGCCCTTCTTCTTGATACGGGAGAGAGTGGGGAGCGGCGCCGGGGCAACGTAGGAGTCGGTGGAAGACTCCGAAAGACGTCTTCTCTTGGGGGCGCGGGATTGCAGATCGGTCTGCTCGACCTCCGAGTCGGAGGATTCGTGGGAATCGTCCATAACGGGCTCTGGGGAGCTGGAGGGCGACATGATTTGGGGTGGAAATTGGATGAAGATCTGATGCGCTTCGATTTTCTTCTAAATTTCGCGGCAGAAAAGGAAGTCCGCGCGGAGCGGTGAGGGACCTAGACTAACTTTGTTGGGGATAGACTATGTATGAGATCGGGCCAATCAGGATGCCAGAACTACGTGAATGAAATCTAGCCTTTTTCTAGATATAGTAATAGTAAGATCCTATTATTTAAATTATTCATAAGTTAATATCTTATACTGTACAAATCTATGAAAAACACCATCAAAGTAAAATATTAAATAAATAAATATCCTGTGGAATGCTGAGCTTGGGCGGGCCCTTATCATTGACTTTTACTGGTCGGAACTCAAGCATCAACCTATGAGAAAGCGGGTGAAGTCCCTGGGGAAGTAAGTAAGTATCCGTGTAGAGAACTGCCCAAGCGAAAATGACTTTGTATTGTCTAATAATGAAGGTGAGAAGGATTGCACGCTTGTGCTTAAATGAGTAAAATGGACTGGCAGTATTTTTTACACTGAAATATTCTGAAGTAAATGCAGGATCGTTGTTTATATCCGCAGAGCAGGTCCGGCATCCCGGCATACCTACTCAATAAGAGAGATGAAGGATGGCATGATGCTGGGAGATGTCCATCTGTGATTAGATGCGCAATCGCCGCCTCAACTCTCCCTCCGCGGCCTCTGCCCGAACAAAACCTACCTAGTCATCGGCCTCGACATTGACGCCCCCTTTCCTTCAAAGGAGACACTAGATAAATCCAGCGAAGTAAGAGGAAGAGTTTATAATAGTATTACTATGACTGTGTCTATCCTGGGCTCTTCATAAACATCTCACCATCCTTCTCAGAAATCTACATACTCTTCATCCAATCACGGGTTGACAGAATACGTTTCGTATTACTACTATGTGAGAGCCTATACATAAAATGCTCTGATTTATCTACTTAGATATGTGACTTTTGGTAATTTCATGATTCCAAGCTCTCTTTTCTTTGTTTCTCTTTCTTCAGGAGTTCATCCACGTTATAGGTCACCAACCAGTCGCCGGCTGGCTCATGCTCCGGTAATTTGATGTCTGGATTGTGCCTGTTTATGCCGCTGGCGAACAGCACCCGAGCATAGAGGGGGTCAAACACGAAAGTTGTTTCACCGGTAACCCTATTCTTCACTTTTGCCGTGGCTTCAATCTCGTCAATGGCGATGTACTCGTTTGGTTGCGGTACGGAGGCCCTCTCAATTTGTAGCTTGATATGCTGGGCTGTCTTGGGGTCAAACCGGGTATCGATGAAGTATAAGGAGTTGGGACCGGCTGCAGCCACGTAGGGAGTATCTGGTGCCACAACTTGGCCGCCCCACTCAGTGTCAATCACTACCGGGATGTAACTACTATTCCGGTATTCCTCTTGGAAGGTTGGAGAGCCCTCACATGGTCGGAATGGATTTAGAAGCATGGTAATAAGTATAGCAGTGGGAAAGAGCATGATACGGATCAGAGTAAAAAATAAGGAGAAGAGAAAGTAGGCTATATCTACTGCTAAC